GTGGTAATTTCGCGTTTTATGAGCTTCATGCATATTGAAAATGTTGACCCTTTTGCAGTGGAGGTGCCAGAAAGAATGGACACATATATCCCATCTTCACACCAGATTTTGTATTGGTAAAAATACTGAGATGCGAGGAACTCGAAGACAATTGAATCGTTTTTTCACTTTTAATAATTATATAAAATTTTGACCCTTTGTGGGGGCGGTATTTGATTGAGTGGGTAGATATTGTCCATTTTCGCACCTGACATAGCACAGATAACAATATAAGGATTTGCAAAAATTGAACAAAATAGGATCATCCTTTCTCTTTTGATGAAGTTACATATTTTCTTTGAAAATATTGTCCTTTTGTATGGGAAGTGCCAGAAGAGATGGAGCGACACTGCCCATTTCCAACCTCAATGTAAGTTTGATAATAATATTGCGTTTGATAATAATAATAATTTTGATAAAAATATTATCAAACTCGGAAACTACCGTCGAGAGTTATCGTGCTCACCAGACAGACAGGCGGACGAACATCTCTAGATCGACTCCAAATGTTCTGAAACAGATTTGGTCTAAAACTGATACTTCGTCCACTTTTTGTATAGCCGCATATAATGTTACCGAACAGAGGGAAATTTAAAACTTAATGTCGATTGTTTTAAATTTTTTAAATCTTTTTGTCCGTCTGTGATGTGGCGTTTCCACTGCACTTGATTCGCTCTCTATTCGTTGTTTGACCCTTAACTATGAAAAAACTACCTAATTCTTCACACAAAATTTCCTGAGCGAACACTTATATTTGTACGTTGTTCAAATCAAATCACTCTCAGAACAACGAAAAAATATGTCCCATCCCTAAAAAATGAGAGTATTTATCGGAAAAATAAATTATGACATTTAAAAATTAAAAATAGAAAAATTTAATGAAATTTTAAAAATTTTTGGGAAGACTGAAAATTATGAATGAAAACTACAATGTTGAATGGCGTATGTACATTCAAACGAAAGAAAATTTTGTTTTCTCTCTCATTCGAGGTGCGCATTTTGTCCACGAGTTGAGATTTCCACAGAAAACTGCAAACAAAAGAGGCAATATTTTCAAAATGTTTTTATCGGCAGAAAAAATGTTTGACAAGTGTCTCTCCAGCAGAATTTAAAAATGGAAAAACACAAAAATGTGTTCAAAATGTCAACATTTACACAAAAAGTTGAAAACATGAATGAAAATTGTAAAATTAATGATATAAAAAATCTTTGGGAGGAAAACAATAATTTCTTTTATTCATATAAGTGAGAATTTCATGTATTTTCGTATAAATTCCCATTAAAATCAACAAACAAAATTTTTGGAGAAAGGAATTATTTTACTATGAATAACGAATCGTGCCGTATGGACGGGTTAATTCGTGTACCTAATTCTGAGAGCGAACAACGTTGTTAGGTTTCCAATGGAAACATGCTATGAAACTCACTCTAGCTTTCAAACGGAATAGCCAAGTGGAAATAATTTTACTTAAATGTATTTTGGTCCATCGATCCAGCTCTACATTTTCATGTAACCCCTTCGAACAGAACATCTGAAACTCAATATTTGAAAATTTTAGCCACATTTTCGAGATGTCTGAAGTGTGGTGTTTGAAGTTCGTAGGAAGGATGGAAATTCGAAGATTCGTACAAACTTATCGATATTGATACGATTTCTACATAACCCTCCTATGATGGTACATGTCGATATTTGACATTTTAATGATTTTAAACACAAGTTCCATATAGCAGTGATAACATACACCGCTCAAATAATAGGCTCCGACACTCATTGACATATTTAACCACTAAGGAAGGATCAAAAGTCGGGCGGGCCGATTATGCGTATATAATAGAGCTCCCGAAAAATTCGGTTGAATATGAAAAAATCTATCCAATTTGGGTTGGATGAAAATGTTTATCGAAGATATATAAAAATATAAACCGATCTCGATAAAATTTGGCAGAGGCATTTTCGAACTGTATCTGAATCCCGATATCAAATATCACTGTTGTGGAGTGCGTATTACACATGTGAGGGACTTTAATACCAAATCGAATGAAACATATATATGGGAGATATACATACATATACACCAATTTTCACCAAATTTTAACTACTTGTTTCTAGAATGAATTCAGTCTTAAGTGCCAAAATTTAGTCCATTTGGGATGATGTTATCCATTTGGTGACCAATAAATCTGATATCAGATAAATATATGTATGGGAGCTATATACAAATCTGAACCGATCTCGATAAAATTTGCCAGAGGTATTTTGGGCTATATTTGACATCTGCTACCATGTATCATTCTTGGGGAGTGCATATTACGACTGCCAGGTACTTAAAACCCCAAACCGAATGAAACATATATATGGGAGCTATAGCTACATCTAAAGCGATTTTCACCAAATTTGATGTACTTGCTGAATTCGGTCGGATATGCCAAAATGTAGGCTATTTGGACTGATATTGGTCATTTGGTGCACAATTAACCCGAAAACGGTTGAAGATATATATGGGAGATATATCTAAATGTTAACCGATTCTCACCAATTTCAATAGGGTTCGTCCTTGTTTGGAAAATGTCATCTCAATCGGAAAATAAATAGGACCAACATTTTGTACACAAAAATACTTGGAGAGATGGACGGGCGGATGACCTGACATGCATAAATCGACTCAGAAAGTGATTCTATGAAGACTCTCAAAAGTGACTATGGTTCTATCACACTTTCTTCTCCAAGTTACAAACAAATGCACAAAGACAGAAAGTATAACCAGTAAAAAAAGTCTAAATATAGGCCGGGCCGACTTTATGATACCCTACACCCCTTTGCATATTTAGTAGAGCTTCATATAACAAATATATATATATGGCAGCTATATCTGAATCAATTTCACCAAATTTGATATACATTACTCTAGGCTCAATTTGGTCCTTAGTGCCGAATTCCAAAGCCAATATTGCACGTTTAGTGCAAATCGAACGAAGATAACAGGGTGAGACAAAAAAAAACTGCAACCAACTTCAGACAGCTGTCATTTCGACAGCTGTTAAAATCATTACAGTGACAACTCATTATATTCTTTCAAAGCGTACAAAATCATTTTGGTTTGAATTTTCCAGAAAAAAGTTATTCGTGATGGAGTTCAAGCGTGATTTCTTTACATTTGGCTGGAAAATCACAACTGGCTATCGTTAGAGCACTCCAGCATCTAATTGTGAATAAATCTTCTGTGTCTCGTACCATCGCTCGCTACCGTGGTAGCGTAGCCCGACGTCAAGGAAGTGAACGGAAGAAAACAGCAACATCAGCAAAAATGGTTCGAGGAGTAAAGAAGCGACTTGATCGAAACCCTCGTCGCAATGGCCCAAAAATGGCTCGTGAGATGACCATATCCCAATATTCCATTCGGCAAATATTGAAGATGAGCTCGGAGTAATGCCATTGAAATTCCAAAGAGTGCAAGAACTTACATCGCAACAGAAAGAAAATAGACTAAAAAGGGCTAAAGAGTTGCTTTGCTTGGCCGAAAGTGGTGAACTGCCGAATTTGGTTTTCTCCGATGAGAAAACATTCGTTGTCCAGCAGTTTGTAAACAAACAAAATGATCGTGTTTACTTGTCAAAGAGGTCAGCACCTTCGGTTGGCCACCAGAACTCAAGCGGTAATGGTGTGGGCCACCATAACTGCCGATGGTCGTTCTCCGCTCGTATTAATCGACCGTGGCATCAGAATAAATGTTGCAGTTTTTTATCTATCCCTGTATGTGGGAGCTATATCAGAATTTTGACCGATTTCAATAGGGTTCGTCCTTGGGTCAAACAAATGGCTTGTGCAAAATTTCATCGGGATTGGGATTGCGACTTGTACTTTGTTTACAAAAATGCATGGACAGGCAGACGTACAGTCGGACATGCATAAATCGACTCAGAACATGATTATGTGAAAATCCTCAAAAGAAGAATCCTTCTTTACTTCTCCATATTACAAACAAATGCACAAAGACACAATACCCTTACCTCTATGTGGAGTAGGGTATAATTACCTCTATGTGCAAATGTGTAACCTTTCAAATAGTAGAGGGATTTAAGAGTTTTTGTATATCGGCCAATTACCGAATATACTAATTTTTAGAGATTTTAAAGACAAGAGATTTAACTTCAATTTAGATTTTCGGTTTGCAAATCTGCAATTCTGATAAAACTATCAAATTCCTGCATTACTTGGAGCAGAACATGTGTCCTTTTATTTTGTTAATTTATTTTTAATTTTTCAAAAATTCTCTACTTCACAAAAAAATTCGTAGCGTTATTTGTTCTATATTTTGTAGCCAATCGATAAGCCTTTAACGTCACTAATTCAACATTTTTCCGTTTTGCTCACTACTAACAGCTTTTTGTTATTGTTATTTAATTAAACAAAACAAACACAGTGACAACAACAATAAAATACTACAAAAAATGAAAAACAATTTAACCAAATACACGTTCGACACACTACACAACGCACACTTTTGTTTACTATCTGCATTTTTTATGTTTATGTTTTTTGTTGTTGTTGCTTTAGACGCTTTTTTTGTTTTTGCCCTACTCACGTTTGTTACGAATTTCAATTTCATTACCTTACGTGGTGAGTCGCCCACACTGCTATTTGACGACAAAATATAGACGGCAAATATAAATTACAAAAACAGCAAAAAAAAAAGATATTTAGTATCCCATAGATACTTTAGTTGTTCTATTTCACCAAAAACAAAAAAAAGAATCACTCTCCAACACAATGCACTCAACAGCAATAACAATAAATAACGATTTTTTTGGTCACATAAATGAGAATTTTTTTTCTAGAATTTTTAACAAAATATATACCTTTATGTGTATTTTTTTTAATTTTAATATATATTTTAATTTTTTGGATTTTTTAATTTTTGGTTTTGTATATTTATTTTTTCTTATAAGATATAGATATTCACATGTATGTAGTATTATTTTCGGCCGAAGAATATTTGCATAATTCCATTTAAAATTCGTTTAGTATGGCATTTTATTTTTTTATAGCAAATCGCACGCAGTATATTTTTATTTCTTTTTTGGTTAGCAGACGCGTTACCGTACCAACGAATTCATCAAACCGTCGCCGTAACGATAAATTTGCAGACTGAAGGAAAATATGGCCAAGCACACAGCAGCAGCAAACGAGCTAACAGCCAACCGTCAAGTCATGCGGTTGGAAACAAACAAAATAATAATTAGGTTTGAGTTGGCAGTTGGCTCCACATGCAACATACAGCAAAAACAGCTGATCAAAAACAAAAACACTTCAAACAAACACACGCACGCACACATACGGTTAGCATTCCCCCCAAATAGCAATGCAGCAATAACAGTAAATAATATTCTACTAACAGAGCATTAACAGAACGTTGCTTACAGAGAGAAATACAATCGTATGCTTTGTTTGCATTACATTTCGTTATTAACATAAGCAAATGTAAATTAACATAACCTCTATAGAACCATAACATTTAACATTTTAACATTAACATCCCCATTGTTTCCGACATTCACGACACAGTTCTGCTGGAAAACCCCAAAATGTTAAAACAATTCCAAATGAAAAACTACTGTTAACAGCATTTTAATGACATCATCTCAGCTATAGTAGAGCGCACAGCACTGCATTACGTCAAATCTTGTATGCAAATCCATTTGGAATAACACAACAACAAAATAAGAACAAATTTCAATTTGCTGGCATGTTGGGTCAAACATTGTAGCCAGTTTCGGTGTTTTATTTTTCTGTTCGGATATACATTATTTTTGTACATGTCAAATATTTACATTTATTTATGGTGCAAAAACGTATTTAGAAAAGTAATGCTAATTTATTATACGTAAATTGCATATGCAAAATGTATTGGGGTGGGTCGAAGCGGAATCATGAAACTTGATATGTACAGAGTGAGCCTGCAACAAAGTCAAAGGTCATCATTTTTATACCCTCCACCATACCATATACCCTCCACATATTAATTTTGTCATTCCGTTTGTAACTCCTCGAAATACTCATGTCAGACCCAACAAAGTATATATATTCTTGATCAGCGTAAAATTCTAAGACGATTTAGCGATGTCCGTCTGTCTGTCCGTCTGTCTGTCTGTCCGTCTGTCTGTCTGTTGTAATCACGCTATCTTTCGAACAAATTGAGATAGAAGGCTAAATTTTTGCAGACGTGTATATTTTGCCAGTAGGCAGGTTAAGTTCGTAAATGGACCATGTAGGTCCAAGTTATCATATAGCCCCCATATAACGGTACCTCCCGATATTCGGTACTTTGATGATTTTAGCCACATTATTTAACGGAATTGTTTGAAATTTCGCATTTGAAGTTCGTAATGGATACTACCGCCTAAGACAGAAATTTTTCTGTGCAGGTCCACGTTTTCGTATAGTCCCCATATAACGGTACCCCCCGATATTCGGTATTTTGATGATTTTAGCGACATTATTTATCGGAATCGTTTCAAATTTGGTATTTAAGGTTCGTAATGGATGCTACTTCCTAAGCCATGTAGGTCCATGTCTTCATATAACCCCCATATAACGGTACCCCCCGATATTCGGTACTTTGATGATTTTAGCGACATTATTTATCGGAATCGTTTCAAATTTTGTATTTGAAGTTTTTAATAGATACTGCAGCATAAAACAGAAAATGGGCCATGTAGGTCCACGCCCCCATATACCGTATCGGTATTTTGATGATTTTAGCTACATTATAAACAGATTTTTCTTCAAGTTTCGCATTTAAATATTTTGATAACTTATGACAAAAGTTGCCTATGCAGGTCCACGTCGTCGTATAATTTTTAACGGATTTTATTATTTTTTTTTTGGAAATTGCCAAATTTGTACCAAATGGTGGAGGGTATTAAAAGTTCGGCCCGGCTGAACTTACAGCTTTTTTACTTGTTAATTTTTATACCCTACACCACATGGTGGTCAGGGTATTATGTCTTTGTGCATTTGTTTGTAACAGGCAAAAGGAAACGAGTTAGACCCATAGTTCCTTTTGATGATCTGCATAGAATCACATCCTGAGTCAAGTTATACATGTCCGTCCGTCTGTCTGTCCGTCCGTCTGTCCATGTATTTTTGTAAACAAAGTACAGTTCGCATTTATTGCCCTATCCAGATGAAATTTTGCACAAATCATTTGTTTGACCAAAGAACGAACCCTATTGAAATTGGAGATAATCGGTCAAAATTTAGGTACAGCTCCCTTACAATTCGTCCAATTTGCCTTATATTGTGCACCAAACCGAACAAATAGTATGGAATTTTGTACATACGACCAGAATGGACCTGAAAATAAGTATGCCAAATTTGATCCAAATCGGTTCAGTCCCATATACATATATCTTCGTTCGATTTGCCTTTTATTGTGCACCCAACGTGTAATATTAGCCTAAATGGAATGGAATTTGGTACTTACAACCAAATTAAGTCTAGAAACCAATATGACAAATTTGGTGGAAATCGGTTCAGATATAGCTATAGCTCCCATACATATTGTTCATCCGATTTGTTGAATTTGCCCTGCATAGTCGTAATACGGACTCCGTAGTAACGATATTCGGGGAAATATATCAAATACAGCTCAGAAATACCTTTGCCAAATTTTAACGAGATCGGTTCAGATTTAGATATAGTTCTCATATATATCTATCCGATTTCAAGTTAATTGTGCACCAAATGGATAATACAAGCCCGAATTGAAAAGTGGAAGAAGGTTTAGCTCTACTAAATATGCAAAGTAGTGAAGGGTATCATAAAGTAGGCCCCGCCCGACTTTAAGACCTTCTTTGCTGGTTTTTTCATATTTTTAATTGAATGAAAGCAAAAAATGTTGGAAATAGCATTAACTTTTAGAATAAGTTATGCTTTGTTCGAATTGTCACCTTTGACTTTAATTATGGCATACAAATGGAAAATGAATCTGTCACACTGTGTCCGAATGTTGCTCTGAGGTATTTTGGCCAATTCCCGGCGAAGCGCTTGTTTGAGGTGATCGACACTTTGGTATTTTTTAGTGCCAACCTTGCTTTCCAAAATATTCCAGACACAATAGTCCAACGGATTGGTATCTGGAGATTTTGGTGGTCATTGTTCGCTGGAAATGAAGCGAGGAACCTCATTTTGTAACCATTCTTGGGTGGCGCATGCTGAGTGCGATGGTGCTGGGTCCTGTTGGAATGTCTAAGGTCTGCGGCTTTGATACACCTTCCAGATTATTTTCGCGATAATATTCGGCATTTATTCTGATGCCACGGTCGATTAATACGAGCGGAGAGCGACCATCGGCTGTTATGGCGGCCCACACCATCACCATGGCCGGGGCTTGAGTTCTGGTGGCCAACCGAAGATGCACATTTTCTGCTGACCTCTTTGGAAAGCGCCGATCACACGATCATTTTGTTTGAATAAAAAATGCTGGACAACGAATGTTTGAGTCCATTTCAATGGCTTTACCCCGAGATCATTTTTCAATATTTGCCGAATGGAATATTGCGATATGTTCAACTCACGAGCCAATTTTCGGCCACTGCGACGCGAGTTTCGAGCGACAAGTCGCTTTTTTACTTTTCGAACAATTTCTGCTGAGGTTGCTGTTTTCTTCCGTCCACTTCCTTGACGTCGGGATATGCTACCAGTATCACGGTAACGAGCGATGGTACGAGATATAAAAGATTTATTCACATTTAAATGCTGGAGTGCTCCAACGAAAGCCACTTGTGGTTTTCCAGCCAAATAAAAAGAAGCCACATTATCACGCTTAAATTCCATCACGAATAATTTTTTTCTGAAAAATTCTCACGCTCATGCTTTTGTACGCTTGTAAAGAATATATTGAGCTGTCACTGGAATAATTGTAACAGCTCTCGGACGAGTGGAAGTGAGAAATGACAGCAGTCTGAAATTGGTTGCAGTTTTTTCATCTCACCCTAAATATGGCAGCTATATCGATTTTCTCCAAATCCAATAGGGTTCGCCCTTGGACCAAACAATTGATTTGTTCACAATTTCAGCTTGTTCGGGCATTAAATTTACAAAAATACATGGACAGACGGACGGACATGCATAAATTCATTCAAAATTTGATTATAGGCAGATCATCAAAAGGATCTAAGGGTCTATTTCGCATCCTTCTCTATATTACAAACAAAATATCCTGACCACAGTGTGGATGGTAGGATATAAAGATTGATTTTTTCCTTAACAAATTAAACTTCTTTCATCAGATATTCTTTGTTTGATTTCCGCAAAAGAAATCCACGATTTTTTGGTCTGAAGATCTTTCTTAAAAAATCACTATTTTAGGTAAGGTGGTTCTTGGTTGGTATTATTCTTCCCTCAGCCATATGACTACAGAGCGTATACATTATTTGGCACCATAGGTCTCTTTGGACCAAATCCGTTTCAGGACATTTGAAGTCGATCTAGCGATGTCCGTCCTTTACTGCACAGAAAGAGAAAGTATAAACCGATTTTGCCCCAACTTTGTAAATCCTAATATTTACATCAGTGCTCGGTCAGGTGCGAAAATGGACAATATAGGTCCACTCCATCAAGTACCTTCCCCACAAAGGGTTAAAATTTTGAATGATTATAACTCTTATAAAATGTAAAGTTAAATTCCGATTATCTTCAAATTACACACATCAAAATATCTCTGCTGATCCAAGGTCTGGTATGAAGATGGGATATATCGGTCCACTCCTTCTGGTAACTTCCCGACAAAGGGTCAACATTTTGAGTATTCATTAAATTCATAAAACGCAAAATTAACATCCGATTCCATTCAGACTTGGCACATCTCAATAATTTCTATCAAAGCAAGATCTGATCTGGTTGAAACGGGCAATTTCTTCTGGGTTTGTGAGTCACAAAGGGTTAAAGTTTTGAATAATCAAAACGATTGTAAAATCCGTAATAAGCATTCAGTTCTCTTCATATTTCACACATCCCATTATTTCTACTAACACAACATCTGCTGTGAAGAAGGGATATGTCCGCCCACTCCTTCTGGTACCTCCCCCACAAAGGGTCAAAGTTTTGAATGTCCAAGAAGCTCATAAATCGCAAAATTAACATCCGATTCCATTAAGATTTGGCACATCTAAATATTTTTATTAACAC